ATCAATTTTTGCTGCAGCCATAAAAGCATCTAAAATAAAATTCTTAAAACATTGGCAGTCATTTCTTTGCTTAACACAATTTAAAATAGTTCTCGGGGTGTGTGTGTATGTGTGTGTGTGTGTGATGAATTGGGAGATTGGGATTGACATATATACACTAATATGTATAAAGTGGATAACTAATAAGAACCTGCTGTATAAAAAAATCAAGAAAATTTAAAACTTCAAAAAAAATTAAAACATAAAATAAAATAGTTCTCATTTCCTATGCTTCTGAAGATATTTCTTGCCTATAGAAAAGTAGCAAGCAACCTACCAAAAGCAGAACCCCTCTGCGTTGTCCTTTACTGTTTTCTCTTCTTAATAAAAGCTTTCATATGCCATAAAATTCACTCCTTTAAAAGGCACAGTTCCATGGTTCTTGGGACTTCCCTGGCGGCCCAGCGGTTAAGACGCCTCCTTCCGCTGCAGGAGGCGCGCGTTTGATCCCTGGTCAGGGAACTAAGGTCCACCATGCCGTGTGGCGTGGCCAAAAAAATAAAAATAATAAAAAAATAAAAGGCACAATTCCGTGGTTCTCACTATGTTCACAGAGTTGTACAACCACTACCACAGTCAATTTCAGAACATTTTCATCACCCCCCAAAAGAAAACCTGTCACCATTAGCAGTCACTCATTTCCTTACAGCCCTAGGCAAGCAGTGATCTACTTTCTGTCTCTACAGACTGGCCTACTCTGGACTTTTCATACAAATGGAATCATACAATTTGTGGTCTTTCTTGACTGCCTTCTACATTTTCATTTAAAGCCTGCAGCTAGCTGAAGATGTGACAGAGAAATTTCAGTCAATGCAGGAAACTGACTGAAACTGGCAAGATTTGCTTTGAAATCAATACTTCCCCAAGAGAAGAACTATGGAACACTTTTTTTCAACAAATCTTAAAAATAATAAAAACTTCTGTTTATTATTATATTAGCACAACAGGGTACATAATTTAATACTGAGGATGGAGTGCTCATCGCGTTTCATTAACCACACAGGATTCTTCACGTACAATAGATCATTGAATCCTCATAAGAAGCATTCCTGTTTACACCTGAGAAACCTGTAGGTCCGTGAGGTTTGGTCACGGATCATACACCTACAAAGTGGCAGAGCTGAAAGTTTAATGAGTCCACGTGCCCCAGGCCCTACAGTCTAGTGTATAGTGCCTGTTTATCCCCAAACCATGAAATTCCCATGATCTCATCCGTGTCGGTCACATTTCTTAGTTGCAAATGGCAGTCCTGGATTAAGCAGCTGGATTAAGCAGAAAAGGGATTTACTAAAGGACACTGGAAGTTTGGGGAGGGTGGAGAAAGTGGCTCAAGGTAGTTTCTAGGAACAATGCCTAAAACCACACTGAAGAACTGGGCTGGTGAAAAAAACACAGGAATGGCTGTGGCCACCATGCACTAGAAGCCGGGAACTTGAGTGCCACTGCCACCAACATTGACGCCACTTCTGGGACAGCAGTTCCACCTGGCAGCCACTGCCTTCCTGTACCAGCCAAGTGGAACTTTCACAGAGAACCAACGCATTTCCTCCCATGCCTCATTCTGAACACATGTCTCCCAAGGACAAGTCTTGTTGGCAGTCTAGGTCAGGCACCCATTTCTGAGCATATTTAAGTGAACTAGGATTTTCTCTCTTGCCAAGACCAACTTCAAAGGTCTGACTTCCTGTGCTAAGAACCACATCCTCCCCAGATGAATGACAGATGCCGTCATCAACATGGGTGGACTATTTGGAAGATGATGGGCAACCAAAAGTACAACAATTGTCTACTATCCATTTAAGCAAAGCTCACTGGGAATCTTGGGGCTCGGCTGGGCCAATCATGGCATAAACTGTGGTTGAATGGAGGAGCTGAGAGGATGAGGCCATGGAACGAGGTTCCCCTGCAGGATAAAACCACAGAGAGCACAGAGGCCCAGCTATAAATGCCAAAGCCAAGTTGCCACTGGACCATATGCTCCTCAATACAAGGTCCTCTTGGTGCACCAGGAAAGACCTCCCACCCCCTACACACACAACTGTGAGTAGGTCTCTTGTAACAATCTTAATCTTACTGGAGTGTATTCAGATGTTATCTGTCCTGTTGAAACCTTCAGGCAGGATCTGCCACTTAGTGGGGATGGGGGGACATCAATCACCTAGGAAAGATGTGGGTCTTTGAACAGGAAGCCAGACCTTTGAAATCAGTCTTGGCGGTAAAGGAAGTCCCTTAAGACAGCAGTCACCAACCTTTCTGGCACCAGGGACCGGTTTTGTGGAAGACAAGCTTTCCATGGACTGGGGCAGCGGGGGTGGGGAGGGAGGGGATGGTTCAGGGCTCAGGCGGTAATGTGAGTGATGGGGAGCGGTGGGGAGCGGTGGGGAGCGGTGGGGAGCGGTGGGGGCGGTGGGGAGC